AGTCATTAAGGTGATGCAATTGAATAGCGAATTAATGGTGTAATTCTAGCCTAGCTAACTAGTAATTTGCCATTGTCTGTGAAGTGAAGGTGCTGTTGATTTGTGAATGAAGTTGTATGCGACACGTCATATCTGACTGTTATGCACCGCATGAGTTTCCCATGTATGTTTACAGCAGCGCAAGTTCTGCTCCACTTGCGCATGTTGTAAGCTTGCATCGGTCTCTTAGCAACGTCTCACCCCAGAAGTTGAGAGCAGCCTCTTCCGGTTCAATCTGATAACAGCACACACGTCACAGACCTTTGTGTAAACAAAGAACTGTGTGTAGCCAACGATAACTCTTTAGCAGCCATACAGGCTAAGCTAAGCCCTTTACCTCAACTGCTAGCTGTTAGCATCTGACTAACACTTAGATAGGTGTGAGTGTAAAGTGTAACTTTCAAACCACTCCTCTCTCTCTCTCCCCCTCACTCCTGGTTTCACTTCCTGTTGTGCTATCACCTTCTCTTTGGATTCAGTTAGGTCGGTCCCTCCCCACATACTTTGGTTTTATTTGTATTATTTTTATTTTGACTTAATTCGGCCTCTCTTTGATTTTATTTTCATTAATTTACCTTTGTTTTGCTTGAATGTACCAATTCAGCTATGTTGATTTTAATTAAATCTGAGATTTAATTAAATCAATTTATTTATTTTTCCTTTTAGTTTCCTACAGCTATTAGGACCTTTTCGTTTTACTTTTACCTTATTTTAGTTAGTTTGACGTGTCCCTGATAGCTTAGCTAACAGTCTCCCTAGGTTTATGACCCTGCTGCAGCATTCCTTTGAACAAGTGACACCTGCTTAGTCATATCTCCTAGCTTAAACTAAATAAGGAAAGCCCTTCCTTCTTCCGCTGTCTCTTTCTGATTTTATTTTAGTTTTGTTTATTTGATACCTTCCAAGTGCTTTGAGTAATAGTTTCACCACACGTATAGCCCGGTCATTAGCTGACCCCTGCTTACAGCCCCATGAACAAAGTTACTCAAACTCTCTCTTTGTGTTCACAACCACAAAAACATAGCACCCTACCTCACTAGTTGCCCCTCACCAGCTATTCACACCTTACACGACCTACACAGCCGCTCCCCATACAGATAGCTTTACACCTCTGTACGTACTTGCATTTGCCTTCTGCCTATCTCTTTCTCTGGTGTTCCCACAAGTGTGCCAGTATGTCGCAGACATTCCACAGACATCCAGCCCTGCCAGCTCACTAGGACCACCTGGAAACCCAGCAGAGCACTGTGATGGACATCCTTCAGCCCAAAGCAGCCAACGACCTGCAATGGCAGAGAAAGGAACAGCGAGACTGCGACACAAGTGGACACCTGACACCTAGCCTGAACCACCAGGATCTGACCAGCATCATCTTCTCCTGGCCTTCTGCTTGACACTTCACAAGTCAGTTTCCTGGAAACCTCTGCAGCTGCAGAAGGAAAAGGATCAAACTCTGAAATGACACATGGCGTGACACTCAAAGACCTCAACCGAATGGCCAGAAATATCCCTGCATTCACACCAGAACTTGCAGGAGACCACGACGTCCACGATTACCTGCGAGACATTGACTTTTACCTGCAGTCTTGGACCAGTGTGAACCACCAAGATACACTCTATCTGCTCTGGATCACCTCTAGCCCAGAGGTGCAATGCTTTCTGAACCGACAGCCAGGACACATCCAATCAGACTACCAGCGGTTTAAACAAGCCATCATAAAGGAATTCTCAGACCCAGAGTCTGAACACGGACTGAGCGCTGCCCTAGACACGAAACAGGGCCGTCATGAAACTACCCATGCTTACTACCACAGACTTCGACAAGCTTACTTCGGAGCTCGCAATTACCCTGGGATGGAGAAGGACACCAGCTTCAAGATCCTTTTCCTCCGAAACCTCCACCCTATTTTAAGTCACCATTTAGGCATTATGGCCTGCCACACAATGCCTATTCAACAACTGCCTGACCTGACACAGAAGGCCTTTAACAAGCACAAGGCCTCCACTAAAGGTGTTTGTAAGACCCCACTGATTCTGAACTTCACAACTCAGAATCCAAAATGGACACCAGAAGGCACCCAGCATTGCCACAATGCAAGGCCCTTCTACAGAAAGCCACTAGCCAGCGGAAGACAGAGCCGTCACCATGGCAACAGACCCAGGTTCCAGACCAACCACTGGCAGAAGCCATGGAAAAGGCCGTCCCACCGGCTTCCTTTTCCTCCGAATCCTCCACCCTATTTTAAGTCACCATTTAGGCATTATGGCCTGCCACACAATGCCTATTCAACAACTGCCTGACCTGACACAGAAGGCCTTTAACAAGCGCAAGGCCTCCCCACTGATTCTGAACTGCACAACCCAGAATCCAAAGCAGGCACCAGAAGGCACCCAGCATTGCCACAATGCAAGGCCCTTCTACAGAAAGCCACTAGCCAGCAGAGGAGAGAGCCGTCACCATGGCAGCAGACCCAAGTCCCAGACCAACCACTGAGAGAAGCCATGGAAAAGGGCATCCTCATCCAGCAAACACCACGGTATTTCCAACAGCAGTCCACCACAAGGACAGAACCGTCACCATGCCAAACGACCCAGGTTGGAAAAGGGCATCCTCATCCTGCGAACACCACGGTATGTCCAACAGCAGTCCACCACAACATCCTCCTCCACTCCCTTCACACAGGTGCCAAACGGAGGCTAAACAAGGACAGCTGGACACGCCTACTTCTGAGTTACAAGAGCTGCTGACACTAGCAAAAGAGCTCCTTGAGCAAAACTCAACTGAGGAGTACTGGGAAGGACAAACTTCTGATTCCTTGCCTGACGCAACACAGCATTAGACCCCTCCAAGGTAGGAGCATCCCTTAAAACCAGTCTACACCCCAGAAGCAGCCAGACAACGTTGGATGGAGCAACGGGCCCACATGCCCAACTGCGAACCCT